TCTCTCTCTCTCTCTCTCTCTCTCTCTCTCTCTCTCTCTCTCTCTCTCTCACACACACACACACACACACACACACACACACACACACACACAGCTGTGTGCGCATTGCTGAGTCCCGTGAAACAACTACTGAAGAAGAGAGGGGAAGTCCAAGCATGAAGACATGAACACAACGGACCACATTTACACTGCCACAACTGTAGATCCAGAAACAGGTCCAGCACACAACAGGCTCATCGACCAAGTACACATGCACAGACTCTTCACATAACTGTGCTGATACTCTCAACCACCCACCCACCCACCCACCGAGCCCTTCCACCCTCTCCCATTAACAAACATTACCCCTCTCGGACCATCCCCACCAATAACACATCCATTCTAGAATGTAGTACAAACATAAACTGGCATCAGGTCCTCACCTACAATCCCTCCTATTGTGATCTGAGGCCGAGCAGCAAACAAGTTGTACGGCCGCCGGGCCTTCTTCTCGTGCAATTTCGCTCTGTCCTTCCAAACTGAGATCTCCCGTTCGATGGACATCGCTGCCTGTGCACGTGTGCCTGGGAGAGCGCCTTGTGGAACCGGCTTAGCGCTCCTGCTCTTGTCACAGCTCTGAACTGCTTCTGAAATCTTGTGCACCCCTACCCGGTACCGAATTCCTGCTGGCGCTCTCACAGATGCCAAATCCAGAGAAACAGCCCTTGGTACATCCCAGTAATGAGCCTCCCGATCAACACACCGCTCATGGAATGCAGTCTCCAAAGTAAGTTGATGGCGGTCAAACTTTTTGTATGTATATGCGAAGATGCGAAGTTGACACACACAGTTCAGTTCACGACCATCGTGAATCAGCAAAACGCACCACAAAGAGAAACCATCAGCAATGGCGTCAAGAACCACGCATCAGCCATTGTCACACACCTCTCTTCCAATCCTGACTCCACCCCGCCTACTCGCACACACTTGAATGACATCCTTGGAACTCCACATCCATCCAACTCACATAATCTTACATCAAACATACAAGATTGCCCAATGCTGCTCCACTATACAATCCAAAGGGTCGGTCCCTTAAGAGTCTGTGCTACGACATCGTTTAGCAGCCAGCACCCCGTGCAATCTAGAAAAACCTATGCATTCCAATGTGTGCAATGTCCCATTTAACATGCTTGGCGGCTCCTGAGAATCAGTAGAGAACAGGCAAACACATGCAAACACACATCGGGAAGAAGAAGAAGAAGAAGAAGAAGAAGACAGGAGGAAGGGAAAAAGACAGCAAGGGGGAAGGGAAACAACAACAAAGAAGTCAGGAGGAAGGGAGGAAGAAGAAGTGAGAAGGAAGAGAAGAAGAAAGAGGCGGCAGAGAAGAAGTCACAAGGAGGGGCGGCAGAGAAGGAGTCACAAGGAGGGGCAGAAGACGTGAGGAGAAAGGGCAGAAGAAGAAGAGGAGGGGATGGGCAGCAGAAAGGAGAAGGGCGGAAGATGAAGCGAGGGGGAAGGACAAGCAGTGAGGAGGGAAGGAGTGCCTCTGATTGCAAGTGTTGAACCTGTTGTTTGCCCGAATCCTGGAGCCCCTGAACATGGGGCATGGACTGCAAGAGCCCGGCATTCTATTTCACACTGGGTTATTCCCATCGAAACTGTGATCCAACAAGGGACCTCAGTGGCCTGAGGTTTTCTTTGTTTTCTCCAGCCAACCTCGGCCTCTTGGGGCATTCCAAGACTGTCCCCCTATATGTTGGATCCACCCAGGAAGGCCATTTGAGATGGCGGCGATTTAACCAGGCCACGAGGTTGGGGGATAACGAACGGCCAGTGCAGCATGATTTAGTGTCCCCACACAGTCTCAAAAGAGAGAGAGAGAGAGAGAGAGAGAGAGAGGGAGGGAGGGAGGGAGGGAGGGAGGGAGGGAGGGCGAGGTGTTGAAACGAAGTCTGATCATGAGCGGCTCACAAACATATATACATATATTTCCATCAGGTGTGGTTGAGTGTTAGTCTGCTTTGATTTTCGTCACAGGTACCAGCTGTCGGGCAGTCGATGTTCACCTCAGGGTATCAGCTGTCGGGCAGTCGTTGATGCCACAACCGGGGTTAAGGTGGATTATCACTTACAGTGTAATCATCAGGTTAGGGGATTCTGCAGACTGTTGAGGGGTAAACCGTAGGCAGACAGGGAGAAGAGGACAACAAACGAGGGGCTGTGACAAACTGTTTCGTCGGAGTTTCACCGACTCATCAGGAGGCCGAACCATACACACACACATATATATGGGAGAGTTTGCATTCTCTAAATGACAACAACAGAGAAAAAAGGCAAAAAAACAAAAAAAGGTCCGTGTATCTGCCCTAGGGGCAACAGTCCGGTTGCGTATTACCAGCAAGCATGAAGAAAAGAACCGAAAAGAACAAGAATTGTATATTGGTATATCTGGCCGCGAGTTTGCATTCTCTCAAATGAAGAATACATGGAGGAAGGTTGTTCTTATTCTGCGGAATCTGAATGACCCCTCTTCACTGCCTATGACCATGAATCCTGCCCCTACTTCAGGCCCTTTGCATTCCAACCTACGTCGCTTACACCCTGTGGCCAAGTTCATTTGGGTTTTACCCTTCCCTGTCCTCCTTTCAGAAAATAAGTGTATCTGTTTTTCCATCTGTATATAGTTTGATGAGGGGCAAGAGAAAAAGCACTTGGGCAACACAATGACAACGCAAACCACTGCAACGAAATAGGGAAATCGATTTTCAAAGCGCTGAGGGTATGGCAGCAAAAACAAAAGGGGGGAGGTGGGTGTAGAAGCAATGATCACAAGCATTTGCAACCTCTCTCCACGTTCTACGACCAAGACACGAAAGATTGAACATGCAGAGCGCACCAGTGGCAGCCCCCATTGCTTCCTGTGTAGACAGGAGGGGACGGGAGGGGTCAAAACCCTGCGGAAACACTGACCTTGTGACGCAGAGAGGCGCGCCCCCTGAACGGCAATATCCCTGACTGGAAAACGCCATCTTCATTCTTGGCACAGGGGAAGAGACCTTTCAACGATCCGAGCTCACCACATGCGCTGAGAATCGTACTTGCACTCAGCCGTGCCCGAGCACTTCCACATAAAGCATAGAGAGAAGGATCGACAAGTCTCTTGGCGAAGCTGTCCTCCTCGCTGCCTGACTTGTCCGACCGCCGATGTTCCTTCCCCCGGCAAAGCAGTCGCTGGGCACGCAGCCTGCCTGTCAGAGTGGCCCACCTGATGTAGTTGTCATATTTCCCATTCGCCATGTGGCAGTACACCGGTGGCCGCACACAGCAACCAAAAACAGGCGAACCAGATTAATTAGTACATAAACTACATTACCCCACTGCTAAATGCCATGTGGCAGTACACCGGCGGCACACAGCATCCAAAAATAGGCAGACCAGATTCACTTGATTAATTAGCTAGGCTACCACCGGGCCACCCGGGTCACCCTATTTTCCCGGACGGCCCGGCCGTGCAGGGACCAGGGAAGGTCCTAGCCAAAAAAAAAAAAAAAAAAAAAACGAAAAAAAAACTATGTTATGCAGAAAAATAAACTGAACAACTTTTGCCTCAGGGTCACATCGAAATTCTTTACCATATTTAAAATATAAATTTTATTTATTTTTTTAATATTTTTTATTTTTTTTGGCCCCGGCCGGGCAAGTGACCCCGGGGCACTCTGGTAGCCTAGTTAACTAGTACATAAACTACGTTACCAGAGTGGTCAAGGACTAGCGGGGCCAAAAATGGATTTTAAAAACAAAAAATCTAATTTCATTTTTTTTGTTTTAAATTTGGCAAAGAATTTTGATGCGACCGTGATGCAAAAGTTGTTCAGTTCCTTTTTCTGCACAACACAGTTTTTTTTTGGATTTCTTTTTCTTTGGGGGCGACCTTCCCTGGCCTGGCCCTTGCCCGGCCGGGCTGCCCCAGCAACCAAGGTGACGTGGGCGGCCCGGTACAGGAAACCGACCGAGGTATACAAAACCGCTCCTTGTTTCCACAGTTCCCCCCTCATCCCATGCCAAAACAGAGTCTGTTCTTCCAAACGCTAAGCACATAAAAAATGGAATTTCACATTCTAACAAGAAGGGCAACTTGCGAACATACCCCCACAACCTTGAAAGCGCTCAAACAGACCTATAAAATACGAATGTACCTCGAAAGAAGGAACAATTCATGCACCTTCCCGTGCGTCTCTTGACCCATCCCGACAACCTGGAGAACATCCGCACCCCATACACCTCAAAGGAGCAAAAATCATGCGATCGCCCTCTTGGCATATTTTTGCAGGGGCATTTGGGCAATTTGCAGCTTGCGATGATCGCACTCTTGGCATACTTTTGCAGGGGCATTTGGACAATTCGAAACTGCATGGCGGGGTATAGTTTGGCCATTCCCCCCCCACGCAGTTCCAATTGCCCAAATGCCCCTGCACAAATATGTCCCAGGGGCGTGGTGCCACAAGCAACCAGGAGCTCAAATAACCCCCTGCTAAAATCTGTCTCACTGTCAAATTCTTCACTCCTGAGGCAAACACCGGCAAAGAGGATCGGATTGAATGCCCTGAATCTGGACGTTTCTCTGGAGAGGTGCAGGAAATCGAGATTCCACTGTTTTTCTGCATCTCTGCATAACACACATCCAGATACAGGGGGCTTAATAGTATCCTCTTTGCTAGTGGGACCTCGCCCTGAGCAGAGATGAAAAAACGGTCACATATCAGTTGAAGAAGTCTTACTCTCTACTGTCAGACAACTTGGGGATGGATGTGCAAAATGGAGCTCCATGTATCTTCCCCAAAAACATAGACAGGTACACCCACCATAGCTTTTGTCAGTGCTCTATCACATTCCATCAGTGGTGTGGCGATGCCATTGTAATACTGGACGGCAAGAGTTGCGCGGTTGGATGCCAATGCCAAACCACTTGTGTAAGGGAGTGCACACGCCAACACATTCCTGAAGGCACATGGGCCGCATCACGTCCACATTCAGTCTAGAAAGTCTCGAACAGAGACGAGAAGATCTTACAGACGTATGGATGGGGTAGCCACGTATGCATTTCCCATTGAGGTCGCCTGGAGCGGTGCACATAGGACTTTCCTAAATGCATCTGACCCTAGGCTACCAGCCGGGAGGCCCGGGTCCCGGGTGGCCAGCCCGTGCAAGGACCAGGGAAGGTCCCAGCAGGAAAATTAAAAAAAAAAAAAAAACATCCATAAAATGCGAAAACAAACTATGTTATGCAGAAAAATAAACTGAACAAGTTTTGCCTCAGGGTCAGATCGAAATTCTTCACTAAATTTAGAATAAAAAATACATTTTAATTTTTTTTGTTTTTTTGACCCGGCCGGGCAAATGACCCCGGGCCACTCTGGTAGCCTAGATCTGACCGCAATTACGGCCGGCCGTGGATGCATCTAACCGCAATCATGTTGCGCCCGTGGATGCATCTGACCGCAATTATGTCCAGAAGCTCGGTCGAAAAATTTCTCATGATGCTTCTTTGTCTGAAAAAAAGCAAACGATATATGAAATTGGTTACTGCCTTCGGTATAATCGGTTGCCAGACGAATTGATAACCTAAATAGGAAAGATTGATCGCAAACATCTATAAATAACTTCAGAGCCCACCCCAACCGCCTAAAGATTACTCCCTTCAGGTTGATTAGGGCTCGGTCCATATAGCTGTATTTGGTGCAAGGACCGGAACTACGTCCAGAGACGAGTCAGAAAAGAGACTTGACCTGAGTAAGATCCAAATATGTTCTGTCTTAGATATAGGCCAATTCGTTTTTTTCTTGACTATACTTTATAGAATTTATGGTAAAAATATGCTGAAAATTATTCAAATGATTTTCATTGTGAAAATCAATCATGGGAGAATTGATTAAACTGCGGTTATTTTTTATAAAAAAGTGTCCCAATACGTCCAAAGAGGAACGAGTCAGAAACGTACGGTCCCAATACGTCCAAAGAGGAACGCGTCCGAAAGTTTCCCCAAATGCCGCTGTAATGACCGTACGTTGTATTCGGGTGAAGACGGTAGTGCGAGTACGCCCTGAGACTTTTTCATCAAGTAGATGATCACGTGGCAGATTGTGGTGAGTTGGCGTTCGAGATCGGCTGAGTGACTCCTGGAGATCGTGTGTTTGATTGCGCGAGTCGAGGAGTGGGTTGATTGGTCGAATGATTGATGGAATCATACTCGATACAATGAATTTGCAAGAGAGACGAGTGGAAAAAGCGTAGCAGCATCAGTTTTTCTCGTCCTTTGCATTGACTAGACCCCCTTCCCGATTACTGATGAGATTGTCCGCGTCCTTCCTTATTACTACTACCGTTCCTCCCCCGACTACAAAAAAAAAGGGCATTATAGCTGTATTTGGGTATATTTCAGTCTAAATACAGCTATATAATGACCCCACGTTGTATTTGGGGGGGAGAAGGTAGGTCCCTTTCGGGTCAGGCAGGTACTTTGGGTCTCTCTGACTTCCAATAGGTACCCCATCAAACCAGTCGCCGGTATCACCTACCCTATAGGCTTTACCGTTGTAAGTCGTTGTTTAGTCACCTGTCCCCCAATAAACAGGCCTCGCTCGACTACTCTCGACATGCACACAATAGACAAAAATCATGACGATGTATCTTTCCATGTTCTAGCGGAAGATTCACTTTCGTTTCGCACATGTAAAGAGCAGTAGAGAGACGCCCAATATCACTAGAATGGGTAATCGAACCTCCCATACGCTCAGTATCCGCCGAGCCGATTTGGACCCTTGCCACTCCGTCACGCCGCGAGTTACTTACTATTTTAAGAAAAAGAAAATCTGCTCACACAAAATGGAGGTGGTCTCCAGGTGTCATCATCTCCTGTCCGATCCAGTGCTTCGTTTCTTTGATTGCTTCGTTTCTTTGATTGCTTCGTTTCTTTGACTAATTAATCAAAGAAGAAACGAAGCCCTTCATCAGTGAGGAGATGATGACGCATGGAGACCTTGGCACAATTCTCTAAAAAAAATTGTGCGTCGTAATGACAATCAAAGAAACGAAGCCCTTCATTAGTCAGGAGATGATGACACGGACGGGTTTGCGGTGAGAGAGAAAGAGCAGCGGAGCGGCGCTTCCCTGGCGCACCGCGCGACCTGTCCGGCGCACCGCACAGCGGAGCGGAATTCCGCTCGTTTACACCGAAGTGGCGGCGGGATGGTCTCGAGGCGGGGGGTTGACTCAAGGGCTTCAATCCACATACGACATACGTAACAGGCGGCGAGGATTCAGTGATGACCTGATCCCTTGACTTTCAGTTATAATCATTAATTACATCAGTGATTGAGATTCGCAAATTACACTTCAAAAATTGTAAGAGACAAGCCATGCACTTGTGGGGGCAATGCCACTCTCTACTACGCTAGCATGATTGTGGATCGAGGCATGATTGATACGGAGTTCATTCGAGAACAGAGAAGGAATTGGTTGAAGACAGAGAATGGGGTTGAGGAAGCGGGGGGGAGTGGGGAGAAATAAAAGAAAGACAGAAAGAGAGAGAGAGAGCGAGAGAGAGAGAGAGAGAGAAGTGCGACGGTGACGGAATCGGCTAAGGGCTTGCTGTGGTCGTGAGAGGGGGGGAGGAGAGAGAGAGGAAGTGAGAGAGAGAGAGAGAGACGACGAGGGCGAGGACCTCCGCATGATTCCCGTAGATGCCGAAGGAAAGGTTTCTTATCCCCTTCAACCGTCTCGAATCTGTATACAGGGGCGATGTCCTGCCGCGCACAGGGCACAGCGCAATGCGCAACTGGCAGGTCAAAGGCATTAGTTGACAGATCGGCGAAATACAAGCGCGGGGCGGAGGGCGGGGAAAGGGCGCGGAGGAGAGAAGCAGCAGAAGCGGAAGAGGACGAGAAGCCAGGGAGCGTGAGCAGCAAGCGAGCGGCGGCCCCAGAGGAAGGAAACATGATAGACACGCTAGGCATGGTCTACCGTAGGCCGAGGGAGAAGCATAATGCGGAAGGAAACGATGGGCTGCACTCGACGACAAGCACATGCGCAACACCGACACAACGGACAGAGAGACGAAATAATAGAGAGGGAAGGAGGAAGACAATGAAACAGAGACGGAGAGAGGAGAACTAGATGATAGGCTGCGGATGGCTTAACGGACAAAAAAAAGATAAAATAAAAAAGAGAGAGAGAGAGAGAGAGAGAGAGAGAGAGAGAGAACAGAAAGAGCGAGAGCGAGCGAGCGAGCGAGCGAGCGAGAGAGAGAGAGAGAGAGAGAGAGAGAGAGAGAGAGAGAGAAAGAGAGAGAGAGAGAGAGAGAGAGAGAGAGAACAGAGAGAGCGAGGGAGACAGACAGAGAGGAAAGAGAGAGGGAAGGAGACAATGAAGAACGAAAGAAGAAACAGAAGAGAGGGAGAGGTAGATAGAGAGAAAGAAATGAGCGAGAGTGAGGAACAAAGAGAGACAGAACAGAGAGGCGGGGAGAGAGACAGAAGAGAAAGGAGAGGGAGAGAGAGAACAGAGAGAGCGAGGGAGACAGACAGAGAGGAAAGAGAGAGGGAAGGCGACACAAAGAAAAAAGAAGAAAGAGAAGAGAGAGGGAGAGGTAGACAGAGAGAAAGAAATGAGCGAGAGGGAGGAACAAAGAGAGACAGAACAGAGAGGCAGGGAGAGAGACAGAAGACAAAGAAGAGAGAGAGAGAGGAAAAAGAGAGGGGGGGAGACAGACAGAGAGGAAAGAGAGAGGGAAGGCGACACAAAGAAAAAAGAAGAAAGAGAAGAGAGAGGGAGAGGTAGACAGAGAGAAAGAAATGAGCGAGAGGGAGGAACAAAGAGAGACAGAACAGAGAGGCAGGGAGAGAGACAGAAGACAAAGAAGAGAGAGAGAGAGAGAGAGAGAGAGAGAGAGAGAGAGAGAGAGAGAGAGAGAGAGAGAGAGAAGGGTAGGTTGCGGAAGGCTTAGTCGATGTACCAGTCAAGACCACCAGCGCTTGAGATTACACGATCAAGAACCAACCCTCCACCTTCATCATTATCGACGGCATACGACGGCGTGAAAGGGACAGCCAGGAGGCGCTGTAGCAATAGCAATTGCTGAGCCCTGCAGAGCTTCGTCGGCTGAGTCATTCCTATTGGAGGCGGCTCGCTGGGGAGCGTTCTTGCAACGGCATTCAATGACTGCGTGGATTCCACTTCTTGGTTCCAAAATTGTGCGGCCAGGATTGATTTCATCATCGGCAACATCTTTGCTGATCTGATCTGATCTGATCCGATATGATTTGTCTCCGGACCTCCCTTCTCCTTGAATCTCCGTTTGCAATTCGCTTTACTCCTTTCTACTACTACTACTCCTCTATGTCCTCGTGCGCGGGAAGGCGGAAAAAAATTGGCGCCAGAGAGTATGGGCAGTTCGGCGTAACCCCGCCCCGCTAAAACGCCAACGCCAACCCAGTCCCGCCGTAAAGAAACCAATGAGACATCAAATTGACATAAAAAGGGCGGGGTATGCCGTCCTGCGGTAGTTCACCAATTTGCCGCCCCCTCCTCCCGTCAATTGAGCCCGCCCCTATTATTCCAGATTGAGGCCCCAGCTATTATTCCAGATTGAGCCCGCCCCTACTATTCCAGATTGGCGGATCATATCGCAGTCGATTCCCATTCATACACCGCTGATCGTGTCGTCCTCTTTTTCGTTTTTTCCCGCCTTTATGCAGTACTAAATCTGCTGAGTCAGCATTACACTAACTCTACGTCAGCATAACACACTCTCTCCCTCCTATTCGTGCGCACCCGTTGACGAGCGGGAGCCCAACGATATCTATTTTTTTGACTCGATTCCACTGACGCAGGGCGCCAAAATAGCGCATCTTTTTTAAACTACCCCACTGAAGTCCGGCGTGACCCGTTTGTTTAAATTAAATACAGCTCTTCCACCTGACCCACCCCTCTCCCTTCACCATACTGCCGCGCGGAGGACGCCATCGCCCATCCATGTGGACAACGGGCACAATTCTCTCTCTCTCTCTCTCTCTCTCTCTCTCTCTCTGTTATACACACACTCAAAGGCAGTTGTTAATTCTGCCGGTTACGCTTCAGCGTTAGGCCAGCACGGCGAACCGCCCGCCTTGTTCACAGCATCTGCGGTGACGTGGTCCGCTGTGCATATGCCGCTTGGCGGGTTTGGCTCACGACACACCACGCGGCGGGCCAGTCACCACCTCCTAAGCTCAACCGCGCGGATGTGAAATCCCACAAATGCTGACGCGGCCTACGAGCAGCTGCGCTCTTCGAATCAGCTGAGGCTGAGGCGGATGGGCGGGGGTAGTTTTCTCGATTTCTGCGTGTATCCTTGCGCAGGGGCCATGCTTGTGCTAATCTTCTCCGTATCGTTCCAATTTTAACGGATGTCCCGAAGGACAACGGGGGTGGTTTTGCGATGGTTCGTCCGCCGGCAAAGTTTTCTCTCGCCGAGCCAATCAGGAGGGTATCTCGGAAAAACGGACGTGGAAACGGATTTCTCGTTAGCCCCCTTTGCTCAACAGTTCGGTAGTTGGGGTTGCCATGTAGGTAGGACAGACACTGTTGTTGTGCTCACAGAGTGGGTCGTAAAATCACAGAATTACCCGGCTCGATATGTCGGTTTTTTTCTGGATCAAGTTCGTGTTATACCCCTCGAAGATGAGATGTATGTCAAAATGCCCCTTCGAGATCGTGGTAGAGCGGAATACCCGCAATACCCTTCACCTCTGAACCACACAATAACCTTCACCTTTGTTGGACTGCTCATCTTTGCAGTATTACCCTGCCTGGAACTCACCTTCCTTTGGAAAATACCCCGTGATTTTCATTTTACACCTACTGGCCCAGGTCATCTTTTGGTCCTCCCCCCCCCCACCTCTTGGAAGGGCAAGTGCGACTGTCATCATCTCTCTCTCTCTCTCTCTCTCTCTCTCTCTCTCTCTCTCTCT